TGACTTTTGTCCTGGGTATACAACGTCGTGGACAACGGACCAGAGTCTATTCAGGGGAGAATGCAATGCATATGAATAATGCGGGAGATTGGAGAATTTTTGATAATCGACCATCGGATAGGTCTCGTAGTTCTCACCTGGGCTCAAGCTTCTTGCACATGTGCCTCGAAGACCTCGTTTCTCGGTCCAATATCCCGGCTAGATCTACCTTTCTTCACCTCAAGCAAAACATGTGGTAGGTTATAATCGTCTTGATAGATTTGATGTACAACTTCAAGGCGCATGTAAACCTCGAAGATCAGCCGCGATTCGCCTCGCTCCTGTGTGATCAGGCCAGCTCCGAGCGGTCCGCCGTATTTAAATCACTGTCCATGGGTCTAGGGTATAGAGACGCGATTTCTTATCATCGTATCCTTGCCTTACACTGCAAAGATTAAGGTGTCATCCCGAAAGCCGAAGGCGCGGCATGGGCGGGCGGGTCAAACCGATCGTGACGGCAGTGCATGGTTAGTTGGCTACATGCAGCGAGTCTTGGTGGCCGGGCTTCGGTGAACATGAATTAATGACAATGAAACAGCTATCATTGATCTTGAAGCTGTCTTCGAATATCAACAACATGGTTCTACATGTCGTGATTTGACTTAAACCGCCTGTGCTGCGACCGATGTAGCAGAGGCCGTGGAGGAGGCATGTGATGGAGATGAGGTGATGAACTTCTTTCACAGCTGCAGAACCTGATCACCTCTTCGAAATTGAACATTTCGTCTTTGATAAGAAGTGGTCTCAAGAGATGGATCTGACGAGCTAGATATAAGCCTACGTCACGAAACTTCGTGCAGCCTCCGCGCAATTCATGATGATTTCGATGGCATTCCGGCCCCATGTCTCTTTCCGGCAGTCTGGTACGTTCCTGCGTCCATGTCCCTGTAACCGTCAGGTCGCGAATCTTGCTGCGGCTTGGTTAGTCATTCGTTGCTGCGAATGCGAAGGGGAATATGCTCTAGAAAACGTTGACAGCGGCCCCAATTACTCCATTCGACATGAGATGACAATATTGCGTGCTCGAGGTTGCAATAAGGCTTAATAACCTTAGCTTCCTCCCACAACGAGCCCCCCCTGCATTCATCACCTTACGAATATGCATATCCCAAAGTCTAATCTCGCTTCTTCAACCTCTTTCACCATCAAGCACCAGAAGCCGTTTACCCCGCATCCTTCTCGGCTCTTCCCCATTGGATCGCACTTGGGAATCCTTGGGCAAAAGTCTTGGAATTCTTCGGTCTCTCGGTGGAACATGTGCGGGACCTGCATCCCGGCCCAATTGCCCCGTCTGGGAGGTGACAAAGTGCCCCTGGACACCTCAAAGTTGGACCCTTTCCCCGGTTCCTTTCCTCCGCCATCGGTGCAATTGCACCGAAGTTGAGAGCTTCCCCTTCCATTTTGCAGCTCTTTGAAGCTAGATCGGCACAGAGCTTCATATGGCTCTTTTATTCTCTTGCAGGTATGACGCTCCGCGACCCAAGTCAAGAGAAAGAGGGGACTCCCTTGGCCTCATCTAACCTGCAGATCTAGCGGCCACCAGCAGCGTAGCATCCCCCTCGATTGCGGGCGACTCCCCGAGAAAGATGGAGCGAACGGATGGCATCATGCGCGCTGAGATCGCGTCGGGCCAAGTCTGAAGGCATTCATCCGTCCACTCCCACGACTCAAGATCATCGCGTCGGATGATGCCATCCACAGGCTTGTGCTGCGAGCCAAGACTCGGCGGATCGCGCGGTCGACTTGATGAGAATTGCTTTCGCTTTCCGTTGCACCGAAGATGTCTTGGGCTCTTATTAGAGCATCACCGTCGCCGCCTTTCTTTTCGCAGTTGTTGTAAAGGTGCACGGTCAGACGTCTTGAGTTCCTCACTCTTTGTTCTTCCAAGAATGTCTCGGCTCGCTCTTGGTCTCGTTGCCCTCGCCGGCCTCATGGGCCCGGCCAGCGCGCAACGCTTCGACAACAGCACCAGCGATAGCGCCACCGTCAAATGGCTCGGCAGCACTCCCTCTTACACCGCCGGTACGACATTCGGCCTGCCCTGGGCCCGCAGCAAGTACTTCCCCAACTCGACCGAGTTCTCCCTCTCAGGCGGCGGTTTGCTGCAGACCTGGGTGACGGCATACTGGTCTGACGGCTCCATCAAATGGACCGGCCACGCGATCCCCGAATCCGACACGATCCTGGACGAGTACACAGTCAGCGCATCTTCGTCGTCCAACTCGACGACGCGCTTCTCTCGTGCCAGACGGCAGCAGTCTAGCGGCCTGACCGTCACCGACTCATCTGATGCCGTTAGTGTCGATACTGGCAAGCTTGCCATCACGTTCCCCAAATCGGGTAATGTCGTCGTTGGCGAGATTAAGACTGCATCTGGCAAGACTATCGGCCAGAACGGAAAGCTGGTGCTGCACTCTCAGTCCGGCGTGGAGGACCAGGCGGAGTTGAAGGGCCAATCTGCCATAAACTACTTCAACTTCGAGAGCAACATCGAAGAGGTCACTGTCAGCAAGGACAACACTGCTCGTGCCCTCGTCACCGTCCGTGGGAGGCACTCCGGCGACGGTAGCCACGAAGACTGGCTTCCCTTCATCCTTCGCTTTTACCTCTACCACAACTCCGAGGCCGTTCGCATCGTACACACTGTCATCTACGATGGCAACGCCGAGGAAGACTTCATCTCTGGACTTGGCATCCGCTTCGAGGTTCCCCTCGAGGGCGAGGAACAGTACAACCGTCACGTCAGAATCTCCGGCATCGACGGAGGTCTCCTGAGTGAAGCCGTGCAGGGCATCACCGGTCTCCGCAGAGACCCCGGCGTCGACATCCGCAACGATCAATTCGAGGGCGTGGAGCTCGCCGATCCTGCTACATGGGACCAGAGAGTCACAACCAGACTCAAGTGGATCCCTACTTGGAGCGACTTCAGCTTGACCCAGCTCTCTCCTGATGGCTTCACGTTGAAGAAGCGCACCAAGGCTGGTCAGAGTTGGGTCAACATCCCCGGCGGCACTCGCTCGGGCGGTCTGGCGTACCTCGGCGGTGCCACCAAGGGTGGTCTCGCCGTTGGCCTGCGCAACTTCTGGAAGCGTTACCCGACCGGCATCGACATCACCAACGCCGCCACGGACAAGGGTGAGATTACAATCTGGATCTACAGCCCCTCGGCACCCGCTCTGGATATCCGCCCCTACCACGACGGTCTCGGCCAGGAGACCTACGCAGAGCAGCTCGATGCTCTCGAAATCACGTACGAAGACTACGAGCCCGGCTTCAACAACCCTTACGGCGTCGCCCGAACCAACGAAATCTTCCTCTACGGCTTCGACCAGACCCCCAACCGTACGCTCCTCGCCGACTTGACCGACCACACCAACAACCCTCCCGTCCTCTTCGGCGAACCCGAATATCTCGCCGAAACCAAGGCTATTGGTAACTACTGGGCACCTCCGGCCGAGTCACCCTCAGGCCTCGCCGCCGACATCGAGAAGCACCTCGACTTTCTCTTCAAATTCTACGAAGGTCAGGTCGAGCAGCGCAAGTGGTACGGCTTCTGGGACCACGGCGACTTCATCCACGCCTACGACACGGACAGGCACCAGTGGCGCTATGATATCGGCGGCTACGCCTGGGATAACTCGGAGCTCTCCCCCGACCTCTTCTTCTGGAACTACTTCCTCCGTACCGGTCGCGAAGACGTCTTCCGCTTCGCCGAGGCCCAAGTTCGCCACACGGGCGAAGTCGATGTCTACCATCTCGGAAAGTACAAGGGTCTTGGAACCCGCCACGGCGTTCAGCACTGGGGCGATAGCGCCAAGCAGGCACGTATCTCGACGCCGCAGTACCGCAAGGTCTTCTTCTTCGTCACGGGCGGCGACGAGCGCACCGGCGAGCTGATCGAGGAAATCCTCGACACGGACAAGACCTACGGTGTCCTCGACCCCAACCGCAAGGTCCGCACCGACGGCTGGGTCCCGACTCCCAACTCCTCTGTCGCCGTTGGTCTTGGCACGGATTGGTCCTCGCTTGCTGCCTCATGGCTTCTTGAGTGGGAGCGCCGCGGCTCCCGCTGGGAAGAGGCTCGCACGAAGCTCACCAACACCGCCGCCAGCATCGCCAAGCTCAAGAACGGCTTCGTCACAGGCTCTGGCCTCTACAACCTCGCCGACGGCACCCTCGGACCCCCGCCCGCGGACCCCAACAACAACGGCACCGTCGCCGTGTCCCATCTGTCTGCCGTCTTCGGACTCATGGAAGTCGTCGCCGAGTTCATTGAGCATGCTGGCGACGATGTCCCTGCAGGTTTCGAACAGGCGTGGTACGACTACAGCTACTACTACAGTGCCAGCGCCGCCGAGCAGACGGCGCGGTACGGCAAGGGATTCGGTAACACGAGTCTCAAGCAGGGTCACTCTCGTCTCACTGCGTACGCTGCCCACCGCACGAACAACGCGACTCTCGCGGCTCGTGCTTGGAATGAGTTCTTCAACACCGATGGGTTAAAACAAACTGCTCCTTGGAGTACTGTGCACTTTAACGGCAGTGATGTGTTGGCGCCTATCGATGAGGCATCGTGGATTTCTACGAACGATGCTGCCTTATATGGGCTGGCAGCCATTATCGACTTGGCTCTTGTCGGCGAATACCTTCAGTGAAGTATTTGAGACGTCTATTCCCATCGCTCGGGACATTCTTCTTAGTATAATTCTTCGGGCACTCAGACGTTGCCCAACACTGTAACTACAAGCAACGAACTACATGTATCTATTCGCAACTTTTCGTGTATATATTCTTTTTCGTTCTGGCAAACTTGACCTCAAGATATTGCATGTAATCAGGGTGCCGTGTGCCGCCTAGCGACCAGTGTGTCCGGTCGCTTAAATGTGAATGTCTGAATCATTGTGACCGAGTTCCAACATTTCGCCATTGGACTTGTACAAGAATTGCCACCCAAAACAACATCACCTGTTTAGTCCGGCGGTACTGAATTCCATTTTGGCCATATTATAAGATAAACGAAGAAATGCTTCCACTTGTCGGCCCAGGGGGACTCCTCGTATGACAAGAAAAAGCGTTGAGCTTGCAGCGTTCCAGCCGCAAAGGGGGAGAAGCAGTAGATTCACCCAGAGCAGTGTCAACCTGAGCATAATTCTTGCGAAGTTGAACAGCCCAATGGTGTGTCTGTTGGAACTAAATTGATGATGATGATAATGCTCATTTCTCGAGGCTGGCTGTACTCTCTCAGAGACGGCAACCAGTGTGGCCTCGCTGTCCATTGTTTCTCTGGTATCTAGTGATGGCACGATCACAGACATGCTCTCGTGGTCCATCGTGCGAAAGAGTGGGCTGGCTACTTCAGTTTCGATACTCAACCTTGAAACCGTCAGGGTAAGTAATGTACGATGCCAACATCGGGATGAATCTACGCGTACATGTGGCTCCCTCAACTGTTAGTTGGTGAGGCGTTCAAGTCGACGAAAAATAGCTGGAAGGATAGGCCAGGCCGAGCAAGAGTTGTGAGTGGATCTAGCTGGAGTTGAGGTAGGTTCTTGGATCCCAAACTGTCGTGATGTTCATTCAGGTTGTTTCGTGTGGCTATTGGATGTTGCCGTCACCTGTTCTGGAATGGGTCGACAAGAAAGAAGGCAGCATTCTATCCTTAAATCCTCGATACAAGCCGCCCGGTGAACCAATCACCCGGAACCCCTGGAGATCGGTTTTCCGAACATAAAACATGCCAGGGATAATGAGCAACAGGTGACGGGCCATAGTACCTAGATGCAGCTCGTTGAAAGTGGCACAGCGTCGGGAAAGAGTCTCACATATGACATGGATTGCGCCTGTCGATCAAGATAAGTCCTGTTTCGGGGGCTTCACGTGTGACAAATCGATCACTTCTGGACTGATGTAGCACAACGAAAACCAGCTGGTTTAGTTATCATCACATGGGCAAGCTTGGTCACGAGGGTCATTTGGTAATCAGCCGATGACAGACCAAGACACTCTCGCTCCCAAGTACATACTAACAATTTTGTCATCTACAAACTCTGTAGACAACTACATTCCAATACTTCATTGAAAACTGATGCTCCGTATTTCAAATGATTGGTACTGCTTTGGGGCTTCAAGCTGTTGACAAAAGGAGAGTGATCTTGGGGCGTTTTGTGATTCTTGGAGCGCTGCGCCACTCAGGACAGAAGGTCTCATTGCTGGCCATTGGGGGGCGTCAGCATGTGGCTCAAGATTGTGTATTTTTGGAGCATGCTTTGGGTGCTCAAAATCTGCCACATTCACGATTGGCACGTTGACAGACCAAGTCAGGCAGTCATGCTTAGATTGAAAGCTTTCAGGAAAGACTGCAGCTACGTCCACTGTTATACCTCCATCCCCCACTTGCGTAAAGGTGCAAAAACTGACGATACTCCGATGACAGTATGCCTCCAGGACTGTCGCATGAAACGTTCTCATGCAGTACCTATCGGCACCTGGCGCCCCTCCTAGCATCATATGAGAATGATGAGATGCCGAGTCCAACAGTTACAGCATGAAATACAGCCACAGCAGTTACGAGGCTTCAGAAGGAGTAATTTGCCATATTACCGATATATGTCGCATACTTCGATGAATTAGCATCCCTTGGATGTGGCCTCGTGATCCATCACTGCACGCCCCTTTCTCGTGGTTTGGCGTGCACTTCGCCTGCTTCAAGATTGAAGCGGCTGAACCAGAGTCAAATATAATAGGTTAGTAGTCGCGTATGCTGTATTGTGTCAGGTAGGGAGACGTACCACAAGGGACATGTGTAAGAGTGCTTGAGGAGCCAAAGCTCGATGCAGGCCGAACAGAAGACATGGCCGCACGGCAACTGGCCGACAACACTTCCAGCGACAAAGTCATCCAGGCAAACAGGACACGTCTTGGCCTCAGCGACCTTTGCCAACGACTCGAGCTTTCCCCGAGTCAGCTTTGCCATACGGGCTTTTCTCGGTAGCCGGGGCAAGCTATAGGGGCTCAAAGTCGAGGCATCAGGGGAATCATGTCGACTGCGGTGATTGCCCGCTGTTGTAAGATGCAGAGAAGGAGGAGGCGGAGGCGGCGGAGGATGCCTCAACTTCCTGATCTTCTTCCATCCGAAGAGGTAGAGTACGAGGCCAACTAGGAGTGCGAAAGCGACACAGAGTGCTGCTGCGACAGCACCTGGCTGCTTCTCGGGCACCCAGGTGGTTGAGGCATCTGTGACAGCGGCATCTGGAATGCTTGTCGGGCTCATACGGATGATGTCATGAGGAATATATTGACGAGGAAGTTGAACGGCGGGAGGATATCAGGATGAGCAGAATCCAAGCAGACACAAACAAAAATCCTGCTGTCCTGCGGTTTTTTAAGTCCTACAAACGATCCATGAGTATTACTGATTGCACCGTGTTTCGTGTCAACATTGCACAGAAGCAATCTCACCGACTCGAAAGCCATGTGATGTTTCGGTTGAGGGATTAAGAACTTCCTGTTGCTGCGTGCATTCATATCCGGGTTGCCAGATCAGGTCCTTCGGATGCGAGTGCATTCCGTAGGCTTGGCGGACGATTGGAACAACGTTGAGATTATCTGGGTCTTTTTGCGCCCGCTTCCCATGGGGAAGCAGTAGCTTGTAGGTAATTTTAACGTAATGGTTGTCCATCACCACCGAATCCGACCGTGCCTGTGTTGGCCTTTTGTGTATGAGCGATTTTCTCTTGGCACTCAGACCTCCTTGCTTCCCCAGCCGAATCGGGCCTCGTGTAAGTGAGCCTCGGGAGGCCACCCGCCATAGGAAATTGGAGTTACGAGGTGGTGGGTTACCGGCCTAACTGGCATTTGCTCTCGTCAAACCAACTTTTGCCATTCAGAGCGATAGCGCGTTACCTACGGGCTTGTAGTGAGAGGCATTTAACGTCAATCAAAACGAGGGATCCAGGGGGGTTTGTTTTTAACTCCTAGTGATCATCCTTCTATGATTTCTGCTTTTCTAGAACTGTTATGGCTGGAGGCTCGTATTGAGAGAAACTGGGGGGTCAGCTGCTCTGCTTGCTGATAATTTCCAGGGAAACGGTGCCGGATCGATCGTAAATGGTTACAATCTGCCACTGATTTACTTTAGAAAAGCGGAACAGGAGCGCCTTTATTCATGTTGTCCTGCGTCTTCTCTCTTAATTCCATAATTGATCAACAATGCTCGACACCTCCGGAGAACCGAGCATGGCACCGATTTTATGTCGAAGCACACAGCACTGTGTGTCAAGCTTGCTCCATGCCAAGGTGCGCTTATTTCATTCCACAAGCACAGTGCACTGGGTAACGAGAGGGGGGTTGAGTTGTAAAGTTCAAGATAGAAAATGGTGGTCGGCAGGACAGAGCGGCGCTTGACCATTTGCTGGAAACTATCATGGCAGTGATGAGCTTGATTGACGGGAAGATGACCGATGCCATCGATGGAGGATTGTTTTATGTCAACTGTTGTGCAATCATGCCGCCGAATAAAGAGCATGATCATCGAGTCGCAGTCAGATGCCTATGCTAGACAAGAACAGTCTTATCAGAAACGTCGACATTACCGGTGTCCCGATAGTTACGATATCTACCTTGAGTAGTAAGTACTATGTACGATATCCGAACCGACTTTGTCATTTCTCTTCAAGAAAGTTAGTAATGACATGTAAAAACTTGGCAGAGGTTAGGGTTGAGAGGGCACTGGTTCTACTAGTGTTGGTTTGCCCATCATGATACATGGTGTAAGCCATGTTAGTTACGCAGCCCATTATCGACCTTTCTGTCTACCCACATAACAGAGGTATCTCCGAAGTACTCGATAAAAATCTCTATACATCAAATAGCCATCCTCGCGAATTTTTACAAATGCGGAGCTGCAAATTTTCACCAAGCATCTTACGGTCCCGCTGATCTGAAGCCTCACTACACTCCTTTATCAGCAGGGTCACCCGTCTTGAGAAACGGCACTAACCGAGCAGATAACATGGACCTTCTTCACGAGCTTGAGTCCATGGCTATGACACAACAGGACAACACTGAAACGGACTACGACGACATCAAGAGGTGGCAGTCTCTCTTCGGCTACATATACTCGAGTGCCGCAAAGAAGATCCAGGATCATCGATCCAACTTTGCACGATTCCATGTCTCCGAACTCCACTGGGACATTGTTCGCGCAGAGAAGAACTCTCGGGGCTACGACAAGGATTATTACGAGTATTCTGGCAGTCTTTCGCAAACCCAGACATCGCACGTCGAGCAAAGTACTCCGACCAAGAGGAGAAAGAAGAAGTCTAGCATCTACCTTCTCAGTTAGCGGGTCCTTTCTCCAGCCCTGAGGACGTTCAAATGATCTGCGGTGCTTCTTCCATGCTGCTCTTGAGTTTCAGCGGCACAGGCGACGACGGCTTTGCCGCCTCTTTTTGTAAGGTTGACGAAGCAACCAAGAATATCCTCCTCAGTCACCTTTCCGACATTGAATCAACCTTTTAACCCACATTTATCCGCTACGCAAAGGCGGACAAGAAACTGTCCGCGACATCGATGCATCCCACCCTTGGACCCAAGGCCACCTTGCCCCATCACCACCCAAACTCTGAGCCCCTGATCGAATCAGATCAACGACTACTCCCGACTCAGGACCAGTACCCACTCTGGTACTTCTTCTACGGTACCCTTGCGGACCCTACTGTTCTGAACAATCTTCTCGGTATTGAGCCAGTTTATCGAGCTGCAAAGGTTCACGGTGGCCGTCTCGCAACTTGGGGCGGAAAGTTCAAGGCTTTGGTGGATGCGTCGGCCTACGAGAAGGGCTGCGTAGATGGGCACGCTTTTCTTGTTACGAACAAAGACCAGGAGGATGCACTGCAGTTATGAGAGACTGACAAATACGAGGTGGTCCGGTGCGTGCTTGAACTGAGAGGGGAGAGAGAACAAGAGGTCAGATGCCTTAGATTCCGATTCATCGGTGAAACGGACGCGTGATATGGGCAGAAGCCAGGAGAGCGAAGACACGAGCCCGCGAATCCGCGATAGTCCCGGAGCATAGCGTGAAGTGTTTATGATAGGCGTCTTATGTTAAGAGGAATAAGACATACGCCTGGAGCGTGAATTGCTGAGTTGAGAAAGGGACAAAAGTCATCACGCATGCCGAAGAGAATTTGGTCTACTAGGCAAGTGAGGGGCCGCCACAAGACTCCCAAAACAGACCCATGCTGAAGGTGGGTTGGTCACAAATATTATTAATGCTGCTTAGAAAGACCCGTCTTTTGCGCCTGCTTTTGCAAGTATTCCTTGTGCTTTGGCTGGATAAAGCTCATATCCCCCCTGAGCATCAACGACCTTTCCACACCCTCCCGCAGCCCGGACTGCAAGACATGCTCGCAAGCGCTCAAAGTGAAGCCGAACCGCGGATGTGTCGTCTGCCCGAAGCTGAATGATGTAGACGACGGATGCGAGAAGCCCGAGTGAACCGTGAACAGCTCGAGCTTGAGCAGAACTGACTGAAGCGCCGAGGCGCTCCCGCGGTATGCTGCGACGGGATCCGGGGCTGTGAGATCGATTGTCTGCGCTGCGAAGGACCGGATGAGAGACCCTAGTAGAATGCTGTCACACCGTTTGCCACCTGTGGGATCTTGCGGCGATGACATGCATCGGTCTCCGTGTTTGAGCGTCATGTAGAGGCTGGCGTAGGGTTCCAGCATAGTGGTGAGGAGAGTCTTGCGTATTGTTGTAGCATCATCTGGGCCATGAGTTAGTTGTTTTCATTACGGAGTCTCTCAAAACCAGGAACTATTCGGAATACGTACCGACAAAGCCAGATGGGAAAAGATATTCGATGTTGCAAAGCTTGTATGAGTAAGTTTCACGGTTCGCTCCGCTATAACCGAACACCAAGTCTCCATCTTCGTCAACTAAACACTCAGTAGCAATCTTCATCGCCATGTTATTGAACATTTGGGCGTCTCCGAGTTCATAGGCAACACCCAGAAGCAGCGGATTCTGCATACTCGTCTTGACTGCCTCCATCCATCCGCGGGCCCATGGCCGCGTGATGCTAGTCGCGTCATATTTCTCAGTGACCACAAGAAACTGATAGAGACGTGTGAGTTCCAGTTGTTCGGGAACGTTCTCAAAACGCCCATGCGAGATATTGAGTAGCATTTCCAAAGCCTCTTGCCGGTCATCGGGGAGTTCCACAGTCCAATCTCGCGGGGCACCATCCATATGATGTGGTCGTGACTCAGCGAAGCCGCCATAGAGCATTTTTCGAAAGACTGTTGAGGTTCTCGCGAGCGCTTTGGAGCACACAAAGTAGTTTTTGGGCTTTTCTTCAACGTCTTCTCCTACAAAGAGGTAGAGGTCCCCATTGGAATCGATGACATCCAGGCCGCCAAGACTCCGGATCGCCGGCTCATGGTCGGGATCTTGGTCCATTGCCGTCATGACACGGAGGAACTCTGGAGAGCGCTCATCGACTTTTGCCGTGTTTTTCCTGGCTTGGAATTGTTGTATGTTTGCCAGATGAACTTTGCGAGTAGCTCTTACTGGTACAAACCAACCCAAATCTGATTGTGAGTTTCGGGGATCACCAGGTTGCCCTAGTCTGACTTGTCCACACAGAGACGTTCCAAAGGTGGTGAGATTGTGGCCCGTGCACGTCACAGAGGTCGTACAACGGGGGAAAAGGAGTGTTTTGAAGTCGGTCGATGACTGTTGGGCAGAGGGCGGGAATAAGGGGTGGTCGAGTGAGGGTCCTGAGGGCTGGGATCAGCCAGGGGTTGGTGCTCGTAACCTAACTGAATAAAGACATGTTCTGCCAGAGGAAGCAGAGACCATTCGTTTGACAGAACTCTCACAGAAGGGCTAGGCTCGGAACTGATGGCTTCAGGACCGTCCTTGGAGCGAATGTTATACGGGCGATCGGCACCATCCCGGCCCCCGAGGCCCCCGCGCGGGCAGGGCAAACCCACCACGATAACGCTCAATGGCGCTTCGCGTCTCGGAGTGCCTAGTCCCGTCACGGCATCCCACCCCTGTGCGGCGCGGCGCGGGACGCTTTGTTGACCCCACAATCCGACTAATGTGCCGACAGTCTTTCAGTCAGCGAGGTCTCTGTCGGGTAGAGAGATAAGACACTTCAAGTCGATAGTGACTTTTCCCCCCTTTTCAGCTCACATAGATACTAAAAGAATGGCTTAATAAGTTTACTGATGATTGCTGCGTACATGCGTTGCAGCTAAGCTTCCGGAGACTCACTTGGCATATGTTAGTTTCTTGGATACAGGTGATTAATAGAGCTGGGAGAACTACGCCGCAGTTTCGACTACATGACCAACATCAGGGTTCTGCTGCATAATTTAGTGCAGACAGTGAATCTTGTCACCTCAAGACACACCTCAAATTAATTAATACAGGCTACATTTCCGGCAGAATTCAGATCTCTCAACTGCTCTTAATTTATGAAGACTACTATTGAAGACCATATACAGAGGATAATTTCATAGACATGTCTATCAGTAGATAAGGATTGCCGATGTATTCGGTCCTTTATCTTGGTGGTTGGCTTGATTCGCAGTCATTGGATCTTTGGCTTGATAGAGAGCTCGGGGGCCACCAAAGCTACATGTAGTAAGTGTCCAGGATTCTAGCCCTGCACATCAGATCTCGTATCCTGTCAGCTGGCTTTGTGTGCCGAGACATTCCGGCATCCCACTCTCCCTACGGGCGACATGCCATTCTCGTTCTGTGTCTGGCGCGTGAGCGAATCATATTGAGATCCCCATGTTTCTGCCTTCTTATGCCCCCAGCCTTACTGAGGCATCATAAATACTCATTTACAACTCACGCTTAGATGGAAAGTATCATTTCGAGACAGTTTGAATACCTTTCTACTTTCAGAAAACTGACAACCCGGAGGTGTGATTGCCCGATCTCAGGGCGGGACAGATTCCAACCGCGCGAGAACTGCACCGCACTCACAGTCATTCCCCGGGGGCCGACAGGTCCCGCGTTCCGCGATGCGACGACATTATCAATGCCAGGTACCAAGATTGACAAAACTCAGATGCCACCACGGTTTCGGAATCTCTTCTGCCCTGCAACGCCGATGCTCTGAGACTTTAAATGTTAAGCAAGCACGAGGCCTGCTTTCGCCTCAGGTCACCAGACTACATCGACCTGTTTGGTCCCTAACACAGAAGATTGCTGTTTAAAGTGAGCGCATGATTATGTTCCTACATGCCTCATCTCTGTGATTATCTAAAAGCTTGTGACTTTGTAATTTTTCCTTGCATGCACCTTACCCTGCCTAGTACTCTAGTAAATACATAAGTAGACTTTGGTATTTACTGTGGTCTATCCCGCTTAAGCCCGCAAGAGCAGAAGCTACTCTGGACAACCAGGTACATTGATCCCAGTAACTATTGCCCTAACGTGAAACTCCAAACTAGAAAGTCTTCCCGAGAAGTGGAGAAATAGATAGTAACAGAGATCGGAGTTCGGAAGGCTCCATCGTCTGGCCGGGGTATTCCAAGCCAGCTGGTGGGTCTCGGGGGCTCTATCTCTCTTCCAATAACTTCCGAAGTCGAGATAAAGAGATTATGCAGAACACATAGCTCACTTCAACGCCGCGGAGCAGTTTCAGTGAAAGTACACATATGTAGAATCAAATGCAACCTGTTTCTTCTGGTGGTATAACATGCCGCTAATTATTGCTCGGATTCTTTACCCATAAAATCATACAGAGTTCGAGTTGTCTGCGCATGACCAAGCAGAGGACCGGTTTGGGCCGTTGTAGTCATTGATAATTCCCATGATGGAACTGTAAGTCCCAGCGACCATCAAGAACGTTCCCGAAACCACAACAAAAGCAGCCCAAACACACATAGCGTACCATCTTATGGTAGGGTTCTGTCTTCCTTTCGTCCAGTTGTCGTAGAACCACATGCAGCCCATCGGCTGGAAGCAGATCAGTGTGCCGAGAAGCGCACCGATGAGAGAAATAAGACTGTTGAATACGGGAATACCGCTAGCAACCAAATAGGCCACCAAAGCCACAGTGAAGGTACAGCCAATCCAGGTCGCCCAGTGGGTAAAGGTGTTAGCTGTCAGGTGCCTTGATCCTCTCAGAATTCGAACGAATACGTGCTTGCTCGGTAACTACAATGTGGTTAGCGCAGATTTAAGCTTCTGTGAAATCAAGACACTCACATGGAGCAAGACAGCGGCTGAGACAATAAGACCAGGAAGACCGAGTCCATAAGCGACTTTTTTGACGCTGGGCCCAGCAGAGCCGAGAGCGGGCGAAGAAACGTATGATCCACAGTAGTAGTAGACAACGGCACCTACAGCCACGTAGACGAGCGTGACAACAGATTGGCAGAGAATGAGAGCTCGGGTATAATGCTTGGGCTCGCGCATCTCAGCTACAATGGAGAAGAACGCTGGCGTGCCTGCGTACGAGAAAACGAGTGCAGAGATGGCAGCGATGGCCTCTGTGAAAGTGGGCGAGCCTACGAGCTTGAAATCCGACTTCCAAGGGAGATCTTTTGGTGCTGCGGCAGGCCTATCCTGTAGGCCAACAGCAATGGTCACAGTGAGAACTAGCGAAGCTATTAGATGCTGCAGGTTTAGGTAGGGGCTAAGAGCCTAGACTTACTGGCAACGATGATACTCGTAACACCAACCCATGCCAGCCAACTGATTCGTCCCAGCGTCCGTATGCTAGAAAAGCCGAATCCAATAATCGCTGCAACTGCGACAAAGACGGCGGTACAGGTCGCGTGCATAGAAAGAGCATTCAAAGCGATAGAGATACTCAGCATAGCGGAGCCTGAGGTGAAGGTGAAGACTATGGAAGTAAAGATTAGTGAATTGATGTTGATACTGATCGCCTGTTACAGAGCACTCACAGAGGCAAAAACCGGCACCGAAAATTTCACGGCCAATCCAGCCAAACATCAACTCTCCTGCATCATCAACGCCGTAGACTTCGGGATGGCGGAGCTTGAAAGTACCGACAATGAAGTCGGACCAGGTAGTGATGCCGCTAATTACGCAGACAAGAATGACTCCTGGAATTATCCCCATGGTGTCGAGGATAGAGGGGATGGATAGAACGCCGAGACCCATCTGAGTTTTCATCATTAAGACGGAAGTACCCAGCCATCCGACCTAATGCCAGTCAATTCATATAACTTTTAAATCACCGAAAAGGAGTTACAAACACTGCGGTAGTTGGGGCCATCTTCCGTAATCTCACCAAAGACGGCATCGTGGGCAATCGCGTTGTCCGCGGCAACAAACTTGCCTGTGTTCGACGGCGCCTCACCCAGCGAGCTATCCTTGATTTCTCTTGTGTCCGACATGGCGGTGCCTGTACGCAAGCACTCACTCTCAAAAGATGGGTCGAATCGGCGGGAACGGGGTCAACGATTGGAAGAGGCTAGGAAGGGAACGGCAGAATGAGCATATTATTATACTTGATGAAAATTCCCCAGATCATCTTGCAAGCTGCCGAGCATTTTTCCGGAGAGATGAAAATTCTCCCCACCTCGCGGGGTCGCTTCTTTCGATTGACACATTCCTTTATGAAATTTCAATGGAGTCAAGTGAAAATCCCTTCTCGCAAGTGCGCCGGTATCGGAGTGTGTAAGTCCGAGCCTTGGCGAGATTATATGGGCACTGACTGGGCAGTAGAAGGCCATCTTTAAAGATTTATGCCCCAACTTCTCTGCCGGACGCTTAAGTAGGAGTTGAGGGGATTCAGTAACTCCACGAATCCGAAATCAGAGCTCCAGGACAGCTTCTTGCCTGCGGAGAATTGGGTCCATCGTGGATAACATCTATCATTTATTCCGCCTTAGATCCCGCAAAGGGTTGTCTGGGGAAGTGGAGCCATAAATGGGAACAATCACCAATCAGGCTCCGTTCTCGTCATGGCCTTCCTCTTTGGATTAGACAACAGATGAAGATATCTTTCTGTCAATAAGAGGATCTCCGGTTGTGGGAGCTATTTCTATCGACGGCGTACAATCTTGGTTGCTAACTGCTTCCGGTACTCTTCAAGACCCTGTGAATGTGGCACAGGAAAGTAACGACTACCTGTCCGAAATCGTGGGTCAGATCCAGCTTGTATATGAGAGTTGCCCGTGGATCTCAGTAATATTGCGATACGATACGCACACACTGGAATCCGGTTCTCATCATCAACTTTAACGACTTGTGTTCTTCTCAAGAGAAATCTGCTCTAGCTAATCGAAAAAAGCGGAACCAGCGAAGAGTTTTCGATTCCCATGATCCACTTGTACCGACGGGATGCACCTTTACGCTTACATTAACCACCCAAGAGCCGTGCTTGGTTTCGAACAATCGCCAAACTCATGTACATCTTCTTTTTTGGCCCAAGCCATTCGGCCTGAATACTCTATTTGGCC